GATAAAATGGTTTCAGGTTTTATCAGGCATGCAGTTAGCATCCCTGAAAAAGAAAAAAAATCTCTATAATGCAGGTCTCAAGAAAGTTTTCTGCTCAAGGGAGGGGGACAGTTGGTCTAAACCCCTCTCCTATTACCCAGCTCTGATCAGGACTTTGTCCTCACCCATCAGCATCAGCATAGCCTAGAGGAGACTTTGAGTTAGAGTGAGTGTGTGTGCGGCACACGTGTGCTGGTGTGTGTTATGCATGACATCATGTGTGTGCACTGGTAAATCAAGATGCATGCCCCGCCACTGTGTGATATTGGAGGAGATGGAGAGAGAGGGAGAGGGCTGGAAAAGGAGAGAAGAAGGACTGCGCAGATGCAGTTTTACCCTCTAAAAACTCAGAACTCACATCCACATTAGAATAGTAAATATGCTCCTTTCCCAACTCCCATAGTGTTACCTTGGGTTTTGAAGCAAAGTCTCCTCTAAGAACTGAATTTGCAAAACTTAGTGGTACAGGAAGAAGCAGCTCACCCAGCGTCTTTAAGACATTCATAGGTGGCCCAATGCAGTAGTGGAGTGGTTCCTGCTCACAGCATCTGTGCTCCTGCTACAGAAAGAGAGGACAGTAAGAGGGCTCACAATGCAGCCATGCCTAGGGGAGGGATCTTGATGTGGGGAAGGAAAACACAGAGCTGAGAGACTTATACATGTAGAGATTCTTCTACATGGGAGGTAAGGAGCAGGTGTTTGGCTAGAGGGGAATATTTTACTGTCAGATATTTCCTCACTCTTACCGTTAAAAACAGAATTGGGCTGTGCGGGGCGGGGGGGGAGGTAATGACACTTTAGCAAATGGACATTGGAGAAAATACTACTTAATGGATGCACGTATCCTATGGAGGGAAGCTGTGCTGGAAATACAGGGCTCAGAGCACCTGCAGGAGCTATGCTCTTGCTTTGTTTTCCCTATACTTGTATTTTCTAGCTTGCATTCCAAGTATGTGCTGGTGCAATTGGCTCCATCTCGAGTTCCTTTAAAGTTCCATGGTGAGTTCCTTTAAAACATTAATCATGGCTTATTCATCTTCACATGCCTCCAAAGAGTCTCACAAAGCACTTCACAGTGAGCCCTTGTCAGATATTTGTTAAACTGAATAGATTGCACACCAAATTAGGAATTGGAAGATTTAGGTTTCCAGAGAGCAGAGTAGAGAGTCTTCTTCCTTTGGGGAAATGTAAAATGATGTATCAATTGTATTTGTGATCCTATGGTCTATAAAAGCAGTGGAAAGTTCTCATTAAATACACACAGATAAAGGTGTTACTTAGAACAATAAAATAAGGAAGTAGCAATTAGTCCACCTAAACATGATTGTTAATATATTTTGTCCTTCTGCTTTAAAAACAAATACTTCGGTTACCTTTTATCCAGTGCCAATTAGTTTCCTTGGACTAACATGTTAATTTCTCTGGCACATAGCACATCCTAATCCACTAGGGTAATATTTTTAAATATTACCAAAAGAACTTCCTAAAGAGTTCCAGTTACTTTCACAGAATACACACACACACACACACACACACACACATATATTCAAGGATAAATTTTCTGAATATGTAAGAATTTACTCATTATATTTATAAATTCTATTAGTTCCTTTCCTTGTGAATATGTGGCTCTAATAAATATTTAGCACTTGATATTCACATTTTGAACTTTATCTGTTTCTATCATTTTCTTCAATGTATTTCTAAATATTTGAATAATCTGAGCACAAATTAAATTTAAAGGCACAAAATTTAGATTCAGGATTCAATGAGAAGCTCAGCATTTTTGAAAGAGGAGAAAGCTTCATTAAGAAGAATATCCAGTTACAATTTTCTAAAATACTAAATAAAAACTCTGCGAATGAAAAGAATTATAATGAATAAATTTAAACCACTGTCACCTAAAATGCCTATCAAAAGAAGATCCTCTGAGATTAACAAGATAAAATGGTTATATTTACTGAATGAAGGTTATTTTAGAGATGGTGTTTAATGCCAAATCTTGGACTCATTTTCACTGGAACTGGTAAAAAATAAAGTTTGCTATCTGTAGGCACTCAGCAATGACCACTGGCGACAGAATGGTCAGCATAAGGCTGGATAGAGAAGCCTGCTGGAAACTTGACTCTTCTCCTTTACATGCTGACCCATCCAGCTGGTAGTGTTGGTATTGGGCAAATGACCACTGAGAGACTTAGGGGTTGCAGAATTAAAAGGCAGTAGTGGGCCGCCCGGTGGCGCACTCCGTGGAGTGTGGCGCTTGGGAGAGCGGCGGCGCTCCCGCCGAGGGTTCGGATCCTGTATAGAGACAGGTCCGCTCACTGGTTGAGCGCGGTGCGGGCGCGACTCCGAGGGTTGCAATCCCCATACCGGTCATGAAAAAAGACAAAAAGGGGAAAAAAAAAAAAAAAAAAAAAAAAGCACATGGGACACATGGCCAGAAAATACTTGAGAAGACTTTAAGCCTTCAACCCTGGCTCAGGACACACCACACAGACTAGTGAAAACCTTCTATGCCAGTCTATGAAGACTGTGTATCTTAGTCTTCTTGTTCTGCTATAACAGAATACCACAGACCAGGTGATTTGAACAGAAATTTGTTGGCTCGCTGCTCCCGGGTCCTGATGTACTTTCAAGTCCATCAGGCACTGTTGGGTGTTCCTGGGACCCCAATGATCACTTGTGAGAACTGGATGTCAGGACATTTCCACCGCCTCCCAGATGATCCACAGTGTGCTTCAGGCAATGGGCCCCACTGTTGGACAGTTCTGGAATTCCCTGCAGAGGTTTATATCTACTCTGAACACTTAAAACCAGTCCTAGACTCTCATGGTCTAGAAGCTCCCTGAGAAAGTGGTGAACTTGGGGACCACCCGGGCGTCTCTCCCATCCTTGTCATCACTGAAAACGTGCTAATTATACAGGATTCACTTTTCACTGGTACATTCATGAATTAGTTTGAAGAATGATTGGGAAGTGTCGCACTCTTGCCCCTACAGTTAGTAGACTTTGTAACCTTTACCAGGTAGTAGTTAGACCTTCATTGAGGTTTTCCTTCTTTTTTCTTAGATTTGGTAATTAGAGGAAACAAAGAGGACAGAGAAAATGAGTAACAGTGACAATGCCACCCTCATACTAATAAACTCCAATCACCCTCCCCTTCCTCCCCCAAGGGTTCTTTTTCTACTCAAAGGAATTTGTGAGAATGATGATGGTAAGCCAAGGCCTAGGGCCACAAGCGGTCGTTTTAGGAGGGACAAATACAGATATGGGAATTTACTGTTTAATTATCATTTAAGCATGAAGAAAGAAAGTATGAATACAAATTTTTAAAATCTTTTGGAGGAAAAAAAAAAAAAGAGCATAATTCCCTTTTAAGAGTTAACTCTTTTCCGCCCTGCTTTTTTAAAAGCAAAGGAAGTTCCAGTGGGTCAGGATTAGTGACAGATTGTGGACACTGAGGAAAGGCGCGCTTGAGAGAAGGGGGAGCCCGCCATCCGCACACAAAGCCGCGGAGTCCCCAGGCCGCGGGCTGTCCTGCCCGGGGCCACCGCTGTGCTCCCGGCGCAGCGACGCGCCAGGAAGCGCCCGCGGCTCTCTGGCTGCCTGGCAGCTCTGCTGGTAGCCGGCAGGAGTTAGTCACCCGGAGCCCGAACCAGGCGAGCGTCGGAGCGCGAAAAGGCTGGGGAATGGGGAGGGAGGACACCCGGTACCCGGACGGCTGGCAACAAGCAAAAGGAGCGCGGGGACGAGGGGACGCACTGGAAGCCGGACGCCCGTGCTGGTGCAAGAAGGTGCACCGTCTGCCAGGCCCGAGCGCACGGGCAAAGGGGAGAAGCTTGCGGCAGGAACTTCCTACCGAGGGCAAGAAAAGCAGGCGAGGAGGAGGCAGGCAGAGACTTCAAATGTCCCAATAACTTTAAAAACACACCAAAACACCCCTTCAGGAGATGAGGTAAGCCGAGGTTAGCCAAGCCCCATTGGTTGTGAAATATCAGACAGACCCGGAGCCGCTGTGGCTTTAAATGAGGCCAAGGAAATCGTCTGTTTTTCTGGCCCCAATACTTTTTTCCCCTCGCCCTCGCTCCCTCCCTCGTCGCTCCTTCCAGCTCACCAGGTCCCGGTCCCTTCCTCCTTCCTCGTCTCCCTTTCCTCGATCAACCTCCCTTCCCTCCCCCATCTGATTAGGCGCTGACGGGGAAGGGTGGGAGTGGTGGGGGAAGCTCTCCCTTTAAGAGGCAGCGTGCAGTGACGAATTGTTGAAATTGCCATTGCAGGATGGCATGCCGCTATAAATTCATTGTTCCACCTCCTCGCATCTTCACAGCGCTCGCGCTGCTCTCCGCGCTCGCAGCGGCCGACTGGGGATGACGGCGGGCAGGAGGACACCGCAGCCGAAGGGACACGGACGCGCCGCTTCACCGGCTCGCCGCAGGCCGCCCCCTGCCTTTTTGTTTTAATTTTTATGGCTTTCCCCCTTCTTTCTTTCCTTCCTCCTGGTTCCAGAAGAGCCTAGGAAACCCACAAAATAAGAAAGGAAGTGAGCCCGGGAGCTTGGAACCGCCGCAGCTGACGAGTGCGGAGCAGCACGGGGGTGGGAGGGAGGCGGGCGCACCGTTGCCGGCCGGGTGCGCGGTACCTGCCTGACTTTTCTTGGTGCAGCGATCGTGTCTGCATTTGAGTTTTTCTCCTTTTCCCATATTTGCTGAATCTTCACCACTCGGCTTTTTTTTTTTTTTTTTTTTTTTCCCTACCCCCGTCCCTTTTCGGAGCACGAATCCAAACATTTTCCAAATCGACAAAGAAAAGTTCGCACGCCGGTACCGCGGCCCTGACAGGCGGGCGCTGCTGCCGGGTCCCCCTCCCTCCTACACTTGACTCAACCTTGCAAGCAAGTGTGTGTGTGTGTGTGTGTGTGTGTGTGTGTGTGTGTGTGTGTGTGTGTGCGCGCGCGCGCCCCGATCCCCCGCCCCGGTAACTTCCCTAGCGAATAACAAGTACTCATAAAGTCCCAGTCGCGCAGCCCCTCCCCGCGGGCAGCGCACTATGCTGCTCGGGTGGGCGTCCCTGCTGCTGTGCGCGTTTCGCCTGCCCCTGGCCACGGCCGGCCCCGCCGCGGCACCTGCCCAGGATAAAGCCGGGCAGCCTCCGGCTGCTGCAGCGTCTGTCCAGCCCAACCGGCGGCAGGGGGAGGAGGCGCAGGAGCGGGCCGAGCCGCCCGGCCATCCGCACCCCCTGGCGCCGCAGCACAGAAGCAGCGGGCTCGTGCAGAACATCGACCAACTCTACTCGGGCGGCGGCAAGGTGGGCTACTTCGTCTACGCGGGCGGCCGGAGGTTCCTCCTGGACCTGGAGCGGGATGGCTCGGTGGGCGACGCTGGCTTCGTGCCCACAGGGGGTGGGCCGAGCGCGCCCCGGCGCCACCGGGGCCATTGCTTCTACCGGGGCACCGTGGACGGCAGCCCCCGCTCCCTGGCTGTCTTTGACCTTTGCGGGGGTCTCGATGGCTTCTTCGCTGTCAAGCACGCGCGCTACACCCTGAAGCCGCTGCTGCGTGGGCCCTGGGCGGAGGCGGAGACCCGGCGCGTGTACGGGGATGGGTCCGCGCGGATCCTGCACGTCTACACCCGCGAGAGCTTCAGCTTCGAGGCCCTGCCACCGCGCGCCAGCTGCGAGACCCCCGCGTCCCCGTCGGGGCCCCGAGAGCGTCTCCCTGCACACAGCAGCCCGGCCCACCGCGCAGCACTGACCCTGCAGCTCTCGGACCAGTCCGCTCTCTCGCCGGCTGGGGCCCCAGGACCTCAGACGTGGTGGCGGCGGCGGCGCCGCTCTATCTCCCGGGCCCGCCAGGTGGAGCTACTCCTGGTGGCTGACGCGTCCATGGCGCGGATGTACGGCCGGGGTCTGCAGCATTACCTGCTAACCCTGGCCTCCATCGCCAACCGGCTCTACAGCCACGCCAGCATTGAAAACCACATCCGCCTGGCCGTGGTAAAGCTGGTAGTGCTGGGCGACAAGGACAAGAGCCTGGAAGTGAGCAAGAACGCGGCTACCACGCTCAAGAACTTTTGCAAGTGGCAGCACCAGCACAACCAGCTGGGAGATGACCATGAGGAGCACTATGACGCGGCCATCCTGTTTACTCGGGAGGTAGGTCCAGCCTGGGCGGGTGGTCCCAGCCCTGGGATAAAGAGGTAGGTGGAAGGGACAGTCTTGCTGATGGCTTTCCTTCTCCTACAAATCGCCTGCCAGTGGGGATTTTCATAACTACTTCTTGCAGGAAACCCAGCCAGCCCTGCTCCTGTATTCAGATTAGTCCTCACAGCAATTCCTGCCTTAAATGACTAGACCTGCTTGGGCAGTCAATCAACAATCATCAGTAATGCTGGGTGCCATCCAGTTTGAGATGTTGTGGTATAGGTGCATAAACATGATAAGAAGTTACTAGAATGCTTGGGGAAAGGAACATAGTTACATGGGAAAAGAAGAAAACAGGATTGCCTGTGGAATCCTGAGTCTTCTACCTTCCTGTGAAACGGAATATATTACCTTGTCTAACCTAATGGAAAGGGTTGGGTGGTTGATTTCTTTTAGTCACTTTTATCTGATGACCTTCCTTTGTAAATGTCCATACCTTCTTGCTTGAACTCCTCCTGCAACACAAGCAGAGGGAAGACTTTCCAAAGGACTCCTTTATGAATCTGGCTCCCTACTGAAGTTCTTACATGTCCACTTTGGAATTTCAGTTCTTGGGAAGGGAGAAATGTGGGAAGGCCAGGAGGATATAGAAACCCAATCAGCTGAAGAGACAAACTTATGAGGTCCTTAACAGCTCCTTTGCCTAGTCCGCCTGTGCACCACGGCATTGCCCAAGCAAACACAGCTGCCCAAAAGGGGTCACATCCAGTTCACGTGTTTGGGCTTTGGATGAATCTGTTTCTGAAACCCTAGTGTAGAAGATCTGGGCAAAGAGTCAAGACGTGAAGAAGGAATGTTTTCCCAGGATTTCCCTCTTTTAAGGAAGATGGTTACAGAAAAGAAAAGAAGTGGATGTTTATAGGCCTAGAGAGTCTGGGAGGAACACAGTATCCATTTATATAGTCATTAGACCACCACGCCAGTGTGACAGTCAGACAAAGAATCTAGGTTGGTTTGGGACCTGGCTCTTGCATGGTTTTGAACCTCAGTTTTCACAACTCTGCTCTGATTGGCAGTTTTAAGTTGTGCCTCTCAGATGCCTGGTAAGAATCGACTTTTAAAGCTCATTCTTGTGTTTGAGACCCATCCAGAGCAGATGAAGGATTGCAAACTCTGAAGTATCATGTAAAATCATGGTATGAAATGGAGCAAACAAAACGGGGGTGGGATATTAAATGATGCATTGCAGGAGAGTTGGGAATCACACAGCTTCACTACCTAATTCTTCTATTTTTACTGAGGCACCCCTGGTATGAAGGAAAAGCGTTCATAAATTTGGAGTAGAGAAACACTTGTGGTTCATGGAGTGGACATGAATGTAAACCACATATAAACAAAGACACTGGAGGGTAGCAGTTTAGGGAGAAGCAGGCAGCACACAGTGCTATGCACAATGGAAAATCTTTCTCCTTGTTAAGTGAACTTCTAGAAGCCATCCTTTAATCCCTCTGCACAACATTCATCTTTGAAACGGTAGAACATTTGTTTTGTAGCCTTTCGTATGAAGTGAAGTTCTCCTGTAAAACTATCCCTTTCTTATTTGGTTTCCAAGTCCTTTTTTTTTTTTTTAAAGTAACTTTCCATGTCTGGGTTTCCTTGCATTGCTGCATCACAAGAGACTGCCAAGGAGGCTTTAGGGAGTTTAATGGAAGGAGACTCTCTAAAGAAAGAGGAAAAAATACTTTTGTAGGCATACTGCTCAAGAGAGTAGATCATTTTAATATTTGCTTTCATTTTTAAACACAAATGCACATTCCATAATTTTAAAATAAAAATTAATAGAAGGCCCCTGACTCCCTACCTCCTACAGTGTAATTTTCCTAATTGTTTTCCAGAATAAAAGAAAAGTATTCAGTGATTTGTCTTTTTCCGTGTCCAGCAACGGATCGCAACCCTCAGTGTTGCCCCCGTACCGGACCGGGGACTGGCAACGGGATCACAACCCTCGGTGTTGCTCCCGTTAATGGAAGGAGACTCTCTAAAGAAAGAGGAAAAAATACTTTTGTAGGCATACTGCTCAAGAGAGTAGATCATTTTAATATTTGCTTTCATTTTTAAACACAAATGCACATTCCATAATTTTAAAATAAAAATTAATAGAAGGCCCCTGACTCCCTACCTCCTACAGTGTAATTTTCCTAATTGTTTTCCAGAATAAAAGAAAAGTATTCAGTGATTTGTCTTTTTCCGTGTCCAGCAACGGATCGCAACCCTCAGTGTTGCCCCCGTACCGGACCAGGGACCGGCAACGGGATTGCAACGCTCGGTGTTGCTCCCGTGCCTCGCTCAGCCAGTGAGCGGGAACCGGTCTGCATGCGGGATCTGAACCCTCGGGTGGGAGCGCCGCCGCGCCTCCCAAGCAGCGCACTTATCCAGTGCGCCACCGGGCCGGCCCTAGTATTCAGTGATTTGAAATAATTAGTCTGTTGCTTTTTCTAGATTTGTTTTTTGTTTCGGTAAAGAACAATTCCTATTTTCCAAACTCCGAAACTTAGCATGTTTTAAATAGATAAAAGCAAAGGAGATATAAATTAACAGCCTAATTTTAACTAGTATTATAAAATTGTACATTTTTCAAACTAGTCTACACATTGAAAATATTTTACATGGACCCTCCCTGCCTCCTTGCCAAGCAGAAGCATACTTTTAGTAAAGCAAATCTCATTTAGTTTGTGGTTGACCTTCTAATTTTGTGAGAATCAAATATTTGAAAAGCATGTGTATTAAGAATATATGCACCTAATTTAAAAGAGTGCCACTAACTAGGGGGCTGAGAAAAATATTTCCAGACCATTATGTAGCACTCAATTAAGTGTACTTCAAAATGCAAAGTTAATCTCCACCTTAATACTTAAGAAAGTGAAAAACAAAACAGCTGGAGGAGAGATGACCTGAGCTCTGCTGTCTTGTGGAAATCAGATATCCTAAGGCCTAAGGAAAAACTTCCATGGCTGTTTCTGTTTCAGTGATAAATACCCAGATTTGGCACCAGGATTCAACTTTTACAACTCTGTTTTGAATGTAAGAAGTATGTTGCTTAGCAGCCAGACGCCGAGCCATCAGATCCATGTTTTGATGGGCTCTGACTCCTGTTCAAATTTTGTGTCCAGATGTCATCTCCTAAACTGCTTGTTTTTCAGGCATGAAACTAATGTGTGAGGATATGTTTTCCACCGCTGTTTACTAGAAGAGGCCACTTGGACATTTTGTCTGGGAGTCAGCAGAATAGTGCTAGTTATTCATCTATCAAACTAGCATATTCACTGTCAATACTGTACCCCAGCACTCCACTCCAGGGCTGTTTTAATTAGAGAAACTTAGCACCAGTCAATTGTCTGGCATAGAAGTCATTTTCATTCTGGAATGGCACTTATGCTGGAATTCACACCAATTCTGCCATCAAACAGTAGAAATCCGATCTCCCCAGGCTTTTTAATTTTGCTTGCCAGAATCTCTTCATTGTTCCTGACTTCCTCTTTATTTTAAAATAATTCTTTGAATTCAAACTCTTAAACCCATTTTGTAGACTATTTACTCATATTTAGCAACAAAAGCTTACCTGCTTGATAACAAAATTGGAGATTGTTTAACATCTCCCACCCCTCTACAACACCAATTGAAGCCCTATCCTTTCATGGATTGAAAGCCTTGGATTGAAATTGAACCAGCCAAGAGCCTGCAATGTAAAAAGGTTCACTCACTTTCATTAATTACCAATGTGCCAGTTAATAGGCTATTGTCTCAGCTAAAAACTTTCTTCTATGTTCTTCTGCTTTACCATGGTAGGGCTGGGCCTCTACAGACAGCGAGCGTTTCTCCTCTACCTTCTGGCTCCTTGTTAGGTTCTGACAATAGGGGGCACTAGAGGGAGACCAGCAGCTTCAAAGAGGGAGAGGGATGTGCTTTTTCTCAGTGGCTTGCTCACTGGACCGACTAATTCAGTCACATATTTGAGTTCAGACCTCATTCCTTGAACCTTCATCAAGGAGTCATAACCTATAGGTCAATCCTAGTTAAGAAAAGGCTAAATAACTCAGAAATGGAGGACTGGTAGCTGATTAAGCAGCTCTAGTTGATATCTTTAAAATAAATTGTGAGGAATATTCTGGAAAATCTAAAGAATATTAAAGACAATATACCACAACATATAGGACCTACTGCATTGTTGTATTTCTTACATTAACAATGCCTGTGTACACCTCCTATGTGTGAGACAATTATCTGAAGGTAGCAAGATGGAAAATACCTGGTCCCTGCCCACTCACAGAGAGGAAGCAGATACATGCGTAAGTCACTCTAATATTAGAAAAAATTCTGATAAATGCTTAACTGTGCTATAAACGAAGTCTGTGAAAGGAAAGGGGAGGAAACAATTAATTCTAGCTATTGAATTTGTCCTTGAATTCGTCCTTGAAGGATGGATAGATTTGATTTGGATTCAACCAGCTGTCACTGAGCAGTTTTTATGTATTATCCATGGCCATAAACCATTTTATAATTAATCCTTTCGACATTCTGCAACTACTGTATCATTATTTTAATTTGACAGATAAGGACATTCATGTGAAGAGAAACAAAACTAATCTTCTTAGAGTAACAGCTGACAAATGGCAGAGGGAGAAGATTATCCTCTCTAGTGCTCTCTAAACCAAAAATATTATAACTAACTTATTCAAACACTCAATATGTTTCTTAAAGGCAGAGAGGGATTCAGAGGTTTATAAATTGGCCCCTTTCCTAAGAATCTGTTCCTGGAAACAGACAAGGAAATGGATAATTGCTAGAGCATGATGACTTTTAGGATACATGTGATCATAACATATCATGGAAGCACATAAGAATGTTGCAGAACCCATCTAAGTTCAATTTTGTAGAAAGAGTAGGAGTTAGCCAGACCTATAAGGAAGAGATAGACATTGCAGACGTGCCAAACCATCATGTGCAAAGGCCCA